TCTTTAACTAAGAGTATGATTCATCTCACTATGCACTTTGGAAATGTGGTTTTAGTATGTGCTAAAGCAGATATCTTGAAGATCTTCATAATGGTTTTAAATGTGTTAGATAATTTTAAATGCATCTGGCCAGCAAGTCTGCCTTCTCTTAAATTTCACTTCCTCATTTCAGCTGGCTGCTTAGTCTCTACTATTTAAAAGACCATCTCCAACTACCAACCAAATGCTACATGTATCAACACATCATCTTCCCCAGACAAATACTACTTCCTCTGGATTCCCCATTTCTGTCCCTATTTCTTTACTAAGTCTCTTTCCGGTATTCTTAGGTTCAGCATTTTATTTCATTTACTTCTCCAAATATTTCCATAGCTTAATGGCCCAGGGTTTTGCAAGAATATCTAATAGAACTGTTCCTTTTCTTTTTCTTTCTTTCTTTCTTTCTTTTTTTTTTTTCATAATACAATTAATCATGCAGGTGTCAGTAGTGGAACTGTGGTTCCTAGTTACAAAGCTTAATCCAGACAGCTAAGCTTCTCCAAATAATGGATAATTGAAAGTAAAGATCTCTTTAAGTGTCAGGTTATTTCCTACACATATTAGTTAACTAGGTCAAACTAAGAAATGGGAATGTAACAAACGAGCAACAGAAAGGTAAAGAAAATGAAAAGATTTATTTTTACCCATCAAGGGATCAAATAATAAAAATAATACAAAACTTAATTTCAATAATTATTCATTCTTGCCTCATCTAATTGAGCTCTTCCACAATAAGGCCAAATAGAAAGCACATTTATTTCATGAAGTATTAATTGACACCCACTGATCAGTGGACAGTTCCAGAATCATTAATGATCTTTTTTTTTTTCCTTTACTTTAACTGAGTTCATTTTGTCCCTTACTATTTTTAAAAATATTTTGTTTTGAATAATCAATACGTGTGCACAGTACCAATTTCAGTTCTACAAAGGATATACAATGAATGTAAAGTTTCCTTCTATTCAATCTCCCAATCATTCAATTCTCCTTCCTGCATCCATTCTACTAGTTTTTTGTATTTCCTTCCAGAAACATGTCATGTGTATTTCTAGCAGACAATTTAGTTAATTTGTTTAATGTTCATTCTCGACCCCCTTCCAGTATGCCTTCCTGTATTTTAGAAACTAGAGGCTAAAAATAAAATCTCCTACTTTCTATTGTAACCAGCATTCCTGATGAGTTTCAGATTACTCTAGTCATACACTTATATGACACTTGGTTTTTAAACTAAGTAAGGATGGAAGCAGGGCAAGAAAAATACATTTTGCTGGTGTGGATCATGGTAAAGGCTGCACAATTTAGCAGCTTTCTGCTTATAGTAGACATCATATGGGTTCTACAGACAACAGTTTTAACCACAGATTTCAGCTACCACGTTTCCAGTTACACAATTTCTCAAGATGAAAATTCTCATTTGGGAATTTTTCCCACTTGTGATGAAAAATTAAAGGCAGGATGTCAAGTCTACCATTTCATGGAGAGGAAAACCTCAAATCAAATCCAATAATTAATTATCTTCATTCCAGGATAGTAAAGCCTTTGGAGAAATAAAAAAAGAAAAACAAACCACAACCTGTTTTCTCACTAATCAAACAATATGATCCAGTTATCCCACTTCCAGTTAATTACTCAAATAATATGAAAGCATTTATTTAAAGAGATATGTGCACCCTTACCTTCATTGCAACATTATTTACAAATTAGAAATTACCTAAGTATCCACTGACAGACCTAGATAAAAAAAGAAAAAAAGATGTCTATATATACAATGTAATTTTATTTTTTTAAAGATGAAATCCTATCATTTGTATTAACATGGATGGAACTTACTGAACTAATTCAGAAGTAGAACAAAACAAACAAACAAACAAAAACAGGGACTTCCTTATAGCCTAAAGGTTAAATCTCATTGCTATGACCACTAGAGACTGAGTCTGATCCCGAGCCAGGGAGGTGACCCACATATGGCACAGCAGATCTCTCCTGTCTCAGCCTGATGCTTCCTTTAGCAGTGTCTTTCAGTAAATCTGCCTATTTTGCTCTCCACTCTGGTGAATCTTCTTACCCCTAGTACTTCTGGCCTATTCCCCAGTTCAAAAAAAAAAAATTAAAAAAAGAAATTAAATGAATGAAGTAAATAAACAAACTTTCAGACTATAAGATCAAATTAATAGTTACTAGAAGGGAAGTAGGAAGAGTGGGTAAATTGGCTACAACTTGTGAAGGTACTTTTTTAGTCATGAACTTAATTTAGTATGTACAGATGCTGATTTACAATGATGTACTCCTGAGATCATGTTTTAAAACAGTGTTATGGCAATAAAATTTTTTTAAAGATAATTTCATGTTATTTGAAACCTTTGGAGACACTGCCTTAGTTATTTACTGGAAAAGTGCAGAAGCTTAAACACTTGCCATCAGTATTACAGTAGCATCTTATATTATTAAGGTCAGTCTACCTTGATCAGACATTACAGAAAGATTAATAAATCTAATTAACCTCATCCACTCACTACCGTTAAAATAAACATATTTAGACCCTCCCTGGTGGCAAAGTGGGTTAAAGCACAGTGCTAAGAAGTTAAAGCCACTTCAGGATGAGTTTGATCCCCGCCCTGGAGCTGACCCACATAACGCAGCAGACCTCTCCTGACCCGCCCCCTGCTCCCCTCAGCAGTGTACTTCGCTGATCTACCTGTTCTGCTCCAGGCTCTGTCTCTGGTGAATCCTCTCACCGCCCCTGCACCTCTGACCTGTACCCCAGTTCTGTATGCATAAATAAATAAATATTTTTTAAAAATAAACATATTTATAATCATCAAATATGCATAAGATGATCCCAGGAGCACATGAGCATGCAGGAGTATAAGAAATGGTATTTTCTGCTCCATAATGTTAAGCTTAGATTTTCACTTTAAAATTTTTAAATAAAATTGGATTAATACATTTTTAAAGATTTATTTTATTTATGGGTATAAGAACTGGGTACAGGCCAGAGGTGGGGGCGGGGGGTGTGTGTGAGAGGATTCACCAGAGCCATAATGGAGAGCAGAAGAGGTGGATCTACTGAAATACACTGCTGAGGGGAGAAGCTGGTGGGTCAGGAGAAGTCTGCTGTGTCATGTGGATCAACTTCCTGGCTGGGGATTGAACTTGTGCTGCAGTGGCTGGCTATAGCTTGATAGAGCTATGTATTTCATCCCAGGCCCCTTGGATTAATAATATTTTTTTAGATTTATTTATTTATTCATAAGGAACTGGGGTACAGGCCAGAGATGTGGAGGGTGAGAGGATTCACCAGAGACAGAGAGGGGAGCAGAACAGGCAGATCAATGAAGTACACTGCTGAGGGGAGCAGCAGGCAGGTCAGAAGAGGTCTGCTGCGTCATGTGGATCTCCTACCAGGCAGGCGGGAATCAAACTCATGTGGAAGTGGCTTTAGCTTCTTAGTGCTGTGCTTTAACCTGCTGCACCACCAGGAGGGCCCTGGATTATTAATTTTTAATGAAAAGTTCAGATTAATCTTACATGCCAGAATTTTCATCTATGATGGTCACAATCCAGCTCTGATCATAAATTCTGATGAAGACTGAGCTTAATGCCCAGTCAGCTGGAATTTAGTCAAAATGTACTTTTAAAGCTGATACACTTTTAATGTTCAGCCATCCTGCTGTACAAATAATGCTGATTATTTATTGAATATTTATAATGTGCCAGGTCCTGTTAAATGGTAGTAGAGAGAGAAATATCTGTACAAGTTACACAGATAATTTATTAACCATGTTACCTGGTCTAGGTATTTGATATAGATTCACTCTATTTTGAAGGGCAAGGTCTTTTTGTAATATTAAGTATTTATAACAGTTTATATTCTACGAATGAGTAACTGGGGTGAGGGAGTGGATGTTTAACATAATTTTCATGAAAACATGAAATAGTGAAATACAAGCATAGGAATTGCTAGATCAGAGTTCAGAAATTAATCAAGTATCATCAGGATTAAGTATAATGTTGGCATTTCAAATCTGTAGAAAAAATATAGATATGAATAGCTACTTACTGAAGGGAAAACAAACCTGAATATCAACCTATTTGATATCCTCTGAATTTAACCCAACACATAAAAATTAAAAATTAAAAAAAATTTAAATTAATAAAGCTAAGCTGTAACATGACTAGACTAGATGTTTTATTTATAAAAATGGAGTAAGCTATATGCACACAACACCTATACTTTTATGGTCATGTTACTTGAATTTATTTATGAATGAAATTCTTAATTAGATATAATGATTGCTTATTTATTTTTATAATCTTGGTGAAAATACCTTTAGACTATGGCATAAAACTCAAAAGTCATCCCAGAAAGATCAACAAATGTAATTACAACTCTGATAGCAACTTTAAACTATTTGAATGACATGTAAACAACATAAAGAGTAAAAAAAAGAAAGCTTCAAATTCGAAGAATATATTTGCCTTGTTCAGATAAATGCTATCAGGCACATTCTAACTTGATAGCTCTACATATACATAACAGAAAGACACTTAACACAGAAATTATTTTCACTGGTGATCAAAATGAGGAGAAGCCAAAAAGGATGGTAAGCATGCTGAAGCAGCTAGCACCTTAATCCCCTGACGTGGAAGGGCAATTCACATGCTTACTTGCCAGAATTTTCAGTGTTCCCAGAGCCGAGAGCCAGGATCAATTAGTTGAAGCCATGTAGGCGGAGTGCTGGTTAGAGTAAGGGGTGGAGGTGGGGATGGGGGTGGAAATGCCCTACTTATTCCTTCTTTTGTCCTCTGTATTAGTTTTCTATTGCTGCTATACCAAATTACAACAAAAGCAGGTCATTTAAAATAACATGAATGTGTCATTTTGCAGTTCTGCCGTTCAGAGGTCTAAGTATTCAATCTATAATCCAATTCCCTTTTGCCAAGTAATATAACATGCTCACCTGTTCCAGGGAATATGCCTCTTCAAGAAGCCATTACTTTCCCTTCTGTGCCTTCCAGTCTTCCACCAGCGCCTCCTCTCATTGTCCGTATTCAGTTGGAAGTCATTTCACTGAAGTTAGCACCCTAGGCCACTCCAGGCCACCTACACCCAGGAGAAAAAAGAAGTGGACTAAGATTCCCAGAAGAATGACTAATATCTCTAGATTACAGAGTTCTTAGAAACCAGTAAGAAAATGATATTTATCATTATCAAGTCAAGATACAGTCTGGCAGGCTGGCATTTCTTAGATGAAGAAATAAAAATAGACAATATGCAAATGTAAAGATTCTCATCCTTCTCAAGGTGATGTGATATGATTCATAATTTTTCCTTTACTGTATGGTCTAAATTTGAAAGAACATTGATACTCAGATTTGGTGACAGTAGTAACCCCTGAAAAAAAAAGTAATTGGTACATTGTTTGGATGGCTTTTGATCTAGCACACTATTTCTGTGAAAACTCCACTTCTGTGAAAAAATGTATATACAAAGATGTTCATTGTAAGTAATTCACATGTCCATTAAGTAATTCACATGTCCATGGAAGTCATTCACATGTCCATTAAGACAGGATTGGTCATAGGTGAGTATGACAATAGAATCAATCTGTAGAAGGAATGACTTGATAGGGAAAGAGAATGAATTTGTATAATAATGTCTGTTGATAGATGGGGAAAATACAGTGTTAGAGCAGCGTGTATAGGTCATATAAGTCATTTTCTGCTAGAACATAAATAAAAATTCTGGTGAATATAAACCAAATTGTTAATAGTAGTTGTTCTGAAATGTTGAATTCTTTGGGACTTTAGACTGTTACTACACACATTTCTATATTGTTTAAATTTTACATGCAACAATATATTTTTTAAAATTTTATAACAGTTCATTTTTACATATTTTTGTTCATTTTCATCTCAGTTGCAATCCATCACCATAGTCCAGTGCATTTTCCTCCCTCCACTGTTTTTGATCCCATTCCCCCCTCCACCCCCACAAAATATCTCTGGTATATAGCTGTTCATAATTATCATTATTTTCTTGCCTGTTCCGTTATATTCCTGCTATGAAAAAAACCATCCGGTATTTCTCCTTTTCTTTTTGGCTTATTTCACTAAGCATGATTTTTTCCAGCTCCATCCATGTTGCTGCAAAAGACATGTGTTTCTTTTTTTTGGTTGTTGAGTAATATTCCATTGAAATACAACAATATTTTTATATATTCAGAAGACATGCTGAAAAATGGAAGTGAGTAATCTATAGATTTAAGAACAAGCCATATGTTTTATTCTAATTTGGATATATTTGATTTCAATGTATCACTTGAAAATAAAATTTCACCCTGAGTCATAGTTAAAACATTCTTCTTCAGAAATGAATGAGTGAATAAGAGGGTAAATATGAGAAATTTCCTCTCAAGCCTCTTGTCTGACATTTTTCTCTGTCAATAAATTGGTTTAGAGGGTTCCTCTTTCTCGGTACCTCCCTCCTAAATAAAACTGTCCCTGTGTGCTTTCAATTCCTGTCTCTACAAAGTGACTACCACAAAGTTCTTTTCCCTTTCATTTTGGTTTCAGCATTACTTAAAGTAGACACATTAACACTTTCATTTTGGAAAGAGAGATGTGAATATGAACTTATGCCAGAAATGTGAATGCCTGCAAGGCTCTTTCATCTGGCATAACATCATGTCCCTGGGCTTGGAAAACTAAAGGTATTTTAACACAACTCTGCTCGGTAGTGATCACATCTTTTGGCATTGTAAGTATTCTATTTCACAGGTTAATAGGAATCCAAAGCATTGAGTGTATCTCTGAATTCTGGGTTCTTATTTCTTATCTGAATGAGGTAAAACCACAGATGGGTAGTGAGTAATTCCTGAGCCAGCAGGTCATGGGTTTAGTAAGTTGTCAGCACATTACAAGGTTGTAATAGCCTGGATTGCTTCATTCTTTTTAGGAGCGAGCAGTAAAGTTTAAGATTAAAGTGATGGTTCCATGGCTACATGGTGGTGAAAGGAGGTCACATACATACAAAGAAATACAAGTATGTGTCTGCATAGAGATGGGACTGGTGAAACTAAGCCTTCACCCTCTTGATCAGATGAAGATTATGAAGTCCAAAGAAGGTTTCAGCTTCTCTCAAACTATTTGCATTTATTTGGCCTTTCCTCCTATCCCATAATTCTTTATTATTTTTTTAAAGATTCATCTATTCATACATACAAGAACTGTGCTATAGGCCAGAGGTGCAGGGGTTGAGAGAACTTACCAGAGACAGAGGGGAACAGAAAAGGCAGATCCATTGGAACACACTGCTAAGAGGAGCAGAAGGCAGGCCAGAAGAGGTCTACTGCACCAGGTGGGTCACCTCCCTGGCCAGGAATTGAACTCACACTGCAGTGACTATGGACAGATCCACAGTGCTACGTCTCAACTCTTTGCTCCACAAGAGGAGGGACCGCTACCCCATAGTTCTTAGAAAAAATTATGACCTTTTAATATATAGAAGGTAACTATTCTAATGACACAGCTATGTGCTATATAAGGGCATTTTAGTCAGTAATGGATGACATACACAAATATGGTACCAAAAGTCTTTTCTCTCCCTCCTTTGTGTCTCATAAACTCTATTATCTAGGTCGTGTAAACTATATTCTATGAAGCTGGCATGATAAAATCACCTACTGGTACATTTCTTAGAGTGACACATAACAATACTTTTGTTTTTTGGGGTTTTTTTTTTGAGATAATATTTCTAAGAAATTTCAGGTATGTAAAAATTAATTATTGTTTAAAAAGTAATCTCTTCACTATAAAAGCTAAGGAACTACTGACTTAAATAGATATATATCTTCACACTGTGGCTAATCATTTCCAAGTTTACTAGAATGGAGAATCATTCATTCATAAGAAGAAATTTAACTAATCATTTCTCGTTTTGAAATATTGAAGATACAAAAAAAAATGTTACAGTGTCTTTCTAGTGTTAGACCTAATACATAGTTATTGAGAGGCTTCTCTGTGTTAAAAACTGGCAAAAATTTAAAGACAGACAGAACAGAATCTCAGGTTTCAAGGTTTTATCATCATAATAGGAAATGAAAGCTATGTGATATTACCTGTGTTTCCTAAGAAAATAAACCAAATGTCCAAGGAGAGGTAAAAGCATAGTATTTATGAAGAAAGAAAGAAAACATCCAAGAGCAAAAGAGTCATATAAGAGGGGTCAGGTGAGAAGTCACAAGGCTTATATTACATTCTTGCGGAAGGCAGCTTCTTCCCTTGGACAATAAGTACTATGTCTCTAACCCAGCTATATAAGTACTTCTTACGATACAGTGCCTGGCACAGAAGTAAGTCTTAATGAACACTCAAAGTAGAAGGAAAAAATAGCATCAAATATTCACGTTGTGCTAAGCTCTTTCTGATTGAGCTTTAAAATGGATCACTGAAACAGTATTCCTTGAGTCTTCCCCTCCTATGCCTTTCTCTCATTTTTCCTCTTTAAACAATAGAAAAAACCAGGGCTCAGTGAGCACACTGACTTGTAATGGACTGGAACATCAGCTGAAGAAAAAGTCCTGCCACTTAATCATGTGTGATCTTAGGCAAGGTAATTACTGGTCTGAGTTTCCTGCTCTTTAAAATGGGAATGATACTGTTCATTGCACTGTAATGAAGGTCATGCTAGATGAAGTATATGAAATGTGTAGGTCAGCGTCTGAGACCAAAATGGTCAGAGGATGTTGCTGCCATTATTGTTGCTGCTAATATTGTCAGACAAGAAATAATAGTATCTACTTTACTGATTTAAGGAAAATATTGAGACTGTGTGTGATTAATGTATAAAAAAATTGCTAGTTATAATGGTCTCAAGGTCTAGGTCATTCATGAAAAGACTTTGGTGAGGGAGGATTAGGAGATCAAAGAGATTATGAATGTAGGGGTTTGTTAGACCAGGCAAACTGGATTGACCATTAAAGGACAGTGCTAATAAGTTAAGAGAGATATGGTAGAAGATAGAGAGAAAGGGTAGAGAAAGAAGAATGAAAAGGGAAGAAGGAGAGATAGCCTAAGAAATTAAAGATAAAGAAAAGGTAGGGTAAGTATGGAATTGTGTCTCAAACAAAGATACGATTGTTGAAGGAGAAAAAAGAAGGCATGGGTCATGGTGAAGAAGAGTCAGTTCTATAAAGGAGGTAGACAGAATGTTCAGGAAATCATGTAGAATGACATGATTTCCTTGTTATAGACTGCGCTATCTGTATAAAGCTCAAGGAACTGGAAACTCACCATCTTTTTGATTGAAGAGGTTTCAAGGCAAATGCTGTGTGAGGAAGTGTGGACTGCTGAGGAGATGGAGGAGATGTGTTTATGAGCCACATTAGAATGTGGTATTTATGGGAATAGGGGTCATGACCTAGAAAACAGAAGAATACAAGGTGAATTCTCAGGAATATGCAGAAAGGGCATGTTTTAGTCTTTGAGTTTCTTTTACCATGGCAGACATTTAATTCTGGGCATCAAATTAATTTTAAAAGAGGTAGTTTAGAAGCACAAGTGTCAGATGGGATATAACACCCTGTATTATTCTCAAGGTTGTTCAGTAGGGATCTGAAATACTTTTTTTTTCCAGAAACATTTTTTTTTCTAGGTGACCAGAGATATAACAAAATCTTGAATACCTTTCAGTGTCACACTAGCCAGTTGAAGAAATGATAATGTTCAAGGTATAATAATTGTAGACAAAATTCTGTTGAGTGTCTCCTTGGTTTTAAAAATCCTTTCTTTGTCACTATCCAATTTTACAAGTGAGGAAAACATAGATCACTAATATTTGCCACCTCAGAGTTAAATAGTAACTTGTCATATGTACAATATCATTTTGTATTATTGACAACTAGTCATTTGAATTACTGCTTAAAATTGTCAGAGTTCTAAATGAAAATATTGCAAATTCATTTCTAAAGTAAGAATGCTCCCAGTTTACTGGTGTGGTGTGTGCCATGAAAATTCTAAATGTGGATTTTCTGAAGAAAGGTGAACTTTATTTAAGTAAGGGTAATTTCAAGACAATTTGGTACATTTTAGCCTTCTAGAAATCACGCTCCTTGAAGGCAAAGCTTGTGCCTGCTACCAAAGTTCACCATACGTAATGTGCTGTATATTAAACTTTTTTTATATTAACAAGACATATTTATTACTTGATTAAAGTCAATAAGTGCTTTGTCAATGCTTTTTGAATCTAATTTTTTAGTGACTTGTGATTTTTCCCCCCTGATTGCAGATGTTACTGACAAAGCAAATCAATTACCTCCTTAAAAAATTCTTCATACATGGCTCTCCTGTATCTATGTATGTGCCTCTCCTTTTCTTTCTCCTTTTCCTAATAAACCTGTCTGTTAAAATTAAAAAAAAAATCCTTCATATAAGTTCCAGGATAAGACCTTAAGTCATTCTCTGACACATAAGGCCCTCTGTTTTTGACTCCCGTTTCTCAAGTTCCACCTCAGAAGGCATCACAGACATGCCAATTGTCTTGGCTGTCTGAATACTCTTCCTTGTCCTTCTTGTTGGGCAATTCCAAAGTACCCCCCAAAAGTTCCTCATAACTTCCTCTTTTAAGGGCAAAGACTGTATTTTCTATATTTATGACAAAGCAGGTACTGGTCTTTGACAAGTGATGTATAAAAACTTGTTGAATTAAGGTGTACACATGATGAAAGATTTTTACATAATACTGTGTGAATAATTGAATTGCCTGATGTTTGAAAAATGCAAATGTATTTGTCATCTGGGCTTACTCAAGGACACTATTTTAACATTTTGAAGAAGTAATGCCTTTTGAAAGAGACTCTCAGAGAGTCAAAATCTTTCATAGACTAGAGTAGTTCTACGATGACACTGCCATTTGAATAAGGAGCAAATCACATTATGGAAAAGGTCCTGTCAGTCAGCAAAGTGGTGAGCGAACCATGCAGATGGATCAACACATTTTTAGTTAAAAATTTTCTTAATGTGTAATAGTGAAAAGTGTCAAGAAAAAACATGTGTTTGAGTATATCACCCAAATTGCTAGCAGAGTAGCAAAATTCTGCTACAAGCTGACAGGTGGCCAATCTGAGCAGTGACCTCATATTATAGATATTGTGACTGAGAGTACTATTTCCTGCAATTGTTTGCTAAAAAATGATTTCTAAAATTCAGGTTATACATTGATGTAATTTGTCCTTAAGTATATAGTAAACTAGTCAAGTCAAAACATGGTAGTAATAAGTCATGAGAAAGTCTAGTACTGTGGAACTAAGGGGAATAAAGGAACAGTAAAACAATGCAAGAATTAGCTCCTAAGATTGGAATTGAGTGTTTTAAAAATGACATAGTTTAGTTAACATTTAATTCATTTTTCTTCAGCATAATTGTCTTCGTTAGAATATTTTTTAGCATGTGGAAAGATATTTAATGATCTTTTCAATATAAACATTTTTTGATAAATTCCTAAGAAATGCACATTAGGAAGAAAATATAAACTTGGTTGCTCTGAAATTGTGTTATTCTCACTGAGATAGTTATATTCTCATTCAACACATTTTTTCCATAGAAAAAAAAGGAAGAAAGTGAATGATCAGAGTGTTATTTGTCAGGGAATATAAAGAAGGATGAGGACAGATGGATATAAAGAAATCTGAATTCATTAGAAGATACTAAGTAAGAAGTAAGAAGAAAAAGTGTTTTTTGCTGAAAGAAATTTGAGGTTAAATCAAAGTATGTGATAACAATGAAATTATCTTCTCACATTTTCTATCATGTAACTAATATTTATTGCTGAGAAATGCAATGTTTTGAGCTGAGTAAAACCTCAGTTATAAAAAATGTATAAAATATAGTGTCATACTTTAAATTTCTTAAAGTTTTGGAGGTAAGACTTAGGAGATTATCAAGACTTAAAGACTTATTAATAACAAACATTTGCTTAATCATCCAGTGTTTAGAACATTTGCTAGTTAAAAGAAAAATTTTATATTTCATTCTATTTGTCCAGGCCTGTCTTTGCTTTTGGAAGATATCATCAGTTTCTGGATTGTGCTTTTTAGCTTTACTTCAGTAAACCTTTCTTTGGGTTTAATTCCCTGATCCTTTAAATTTCTATCATGATCCAATATCTCATCATTAACAGGATATTGTCCCCTGAGTTTCAAAGTAATTTTGCTTATTTTAATTTTCCAATTTCTAAAAGCCTTAGTTTCTTATGAAAATTACAGATCCTGAGATTCCAGGATAGCACTTACTGGAAATATTTTAATCTTACTAGATCACATGACATTTTTGGTTAATAATACTTGGTCACCTTATCTACTTATGGCCTTGACTCCTTTATTATTCACTTATTCACTGGAACCTTTAACTGCCTTTTCCCTTTTTTTTGTTGTTAAATATATTCTGAAATGATATTTTCAAAGCTAACCTTATTGTCAAATACAGTGTTGTTTTTTTTTTTTAAGATTTATTGTATTTATGCATACAGAACTGGGGTATAGGTCAGAGGTGCAGGGATAGTGAGAGGATTCACCAGAGACAGAGTGGGGAGCAGAACAGGTGGATCCACTGAAATACACTGCTGAGGGGAGCAGTGGGGAGACAGGAGAGGTCTGCTGCACCATGTGGGTAGCGGGGATCAAACTTGTGTTGAAGGGGCTGCAGCTAGCTTCCTGGCACCAAGCTTTAGCCCGTTTTGTCCACTAGGGAGGATCCCTCTACAGTGTTCTTTTTTTAACCATGTTTGTTCCTTAACCTCTCTTTAGTTCGATTCACTGGCCTTTTTCCTTCAAATATCTAGGATCTGAAAAATGGAGGAATTTAGTTCTCTTCCAACATATTATATTTTTCTTTGTCTTCTTGTATGAATCCTCTTCTGTCTTACACTAGCCTCATTCTTTCAAATTGTAAATGGTTTACTTTCTTATAGGCTGCTTGAGCCATCTAGTTACCTTCATGCTTCAGGAACATTTTTGTAAGCATACCCAACTCCACTCTCTACTTTAGGACTCTTTCAGGCTCAAATTATTGCCTTCTTTCAAATTGCAGTTCAATTTATACCTTTCCCATGAAGACTGTCTTTGCCAAGTAATTTATTTTTCTTTCATTTTCAAACACTTGATTTTCATTACCTCATGTTAATAAACTGTGTGTTCATGTTTCACTTCCTACTTAGAATGCAAAATGTGTGAGGATAAGGTCTGTGCTTCAGTAGTCTTTGTTTGTTTGCTTGATGGGGGAAAATGAACATAATATTAAATATTTGTTCATCAAAAAAATAAATAAAAAGCCAGAATACATTCCATGGTTTCTGCACAACAAAGTCAATATGTACATTATGTTTAGGTGTGGTGTGCATATTATTTTTTTCCCCTTGATTGTGACCGACAACTCTTGTTATAAAAGTACTTTGTGCAACCTCCAGAAGTAATGAAAGAATTAAAAGATGACAAAAGGAGGCTTATAGTAGATATAGGAAATGGATATTTAAAAGATTGTTACTGTGAGCAGGCAGTGCACTTTGCACTGCAAAGATTTCTTTCAACAGACTTAAGAAAAGGAAGTCCAAGAGATTAATTTAAACAAGATCTCACAAAAAGCAAAGGGTTATGCTGCCTGATTCCAAAAAGATAAGGTAGTTTCTGTGTTGTTGGATGATTGTGGGAATCAAATGACACAATTTCTTAAAGAACTAGAGAAATAACTGGGTTCAACAAATGTTAATCTGATACAAGTCTGTCAGGGAATTCGCTTTAAACAAGAGAAAGAAAAAGGTGATTGAACTATTTCGGATTGCAACAATTCTGATCCTTTGCCAAACTGAGGCTATAAAAAAGTACCTGGCGATATTTCAAATCAAAACTATTTCTCTCCCCAATCAGGTAACAAGTTGTATTTATTTCTGTGAAATAGGATTAATTTTATGCCTAGGTCCTCCCCTCCCCCCGGCCCCACCCCGCCTCAACCCCCCCCAAAGAAGAAATGCATCTGATTTGTAAGGGGCTTTGCAAGGGAAACTGTTGAGTCCCAGTGGCTGGTAGGCATTTGAAGGTCGAAATCTAACGGACTCGCACACCCTTCTCCAAAGCTTTCAAGTTCCCTAGAGCCAGCTGCTCCGCAGAAAACAGCCACGCTGCTGCGGAAAGTGGGACAAGCCAGGCTCCTGCCTATCAGATCCGAGGCAACAAATCATACAAAACACCCGTGCCAGCTGTTCTGAAGCTCAGGCGGAGGAGGACTAGCAGTAGCTCAGCCGGGTTTCTCCCACATCCGCCCGCCGCACCTGGACCAGAGTGCTCTAGACCCCCGGGTCGTGACGTCAGCGCACCTGGCAGCAGCCTGGGGGTCGAGTGGTGAGTCGCGGCGCGGCGGGGGCGGAGCGGGGAATGCGAGGGATTCTCGCGAGACTTGCCTCCTCCCAGGCCGGCTCCCTGCACCTTCCCGGCCTCTGTCCGAATCTCCTCCGCGTTCTAGAACTGCGGGCGTCTGGGGAGCGGCGGGGGGCGGGTTTCGCGGCTCTGTCCGCGCTCGGGGTTGGAGCCTGTCGCTAGGGCGCACCCGCAGGTCCCACCCGCCCGGCCAGAGCGACGGCGGCGGGGAAGACGCCGCCTGGGTGGGCGGGGGGGAGAGACTTCTGAGCGCCGCGACTTCGGCGGAGGCCAGACGTGAGTAGCCGCCGCTGCCTAGTCCTCGCGGCCAGGCTGACGGGACAGCGCGGAGAGCTCCACCGGCGGATGGAGGCGCCTCCTCGCCCCACCTGAGCTCAGGAGGGGCAAAAGCGGGGCGCAGGGCCCGCCTTCTGCCGCGAGAGCGACCGCACGAACAGCTGGAGGAGCAGCGGGCGCCGGGCTTCTCCCCGCGGGAGCCCCCAGCATGGGTAAGAGACTCGAGGGCGCTTCCCGCTGTCCGGCGGGACACTCCAGATTTGCGGAGACTGTGCTCCTTCTCTGTGCTCCTTCTCGGGCTCCTTCGGGACGGGGAGCTCAGCCCCTCTGCGCAGCACTCGTGCTCCCTGCGGCCCCCTTTCGCCCAGCCATCCACCTTGCTGTTCTTGCGGAGGGCTCGGTGGGAGCGCTTGCTTGCTCCTCTAGGCGCCTCTTCCGCGGCTCCCCCGGCTTCCCGGGAAGTAGCAGGAAAGGGAGGGAACGCCGGGTCCCCTTTCCTCGTCAGCTGTCTGGAAAACTCTGCCTCTAGCTCCCCATCTCATTGTCAGCCCCCGCCTAAGCCACTAGTCTAGTCCGGTGGGGGAGGGAGATCCAAAAACTTGTCAAAGTAGCATTTTCAGCTGAATTTATTTTTATTAGCCTTCGTATAGGTCGACCTTTTAATATTTTTTTTTTTTGTGGTTGGCATTAAAGGCATTTTTACTCCTTACTGAAATTTGCCAGGGATGCATCAAGGACAGGGAATCTTGACTGTTTACACTGTTTCCACCTAGGCAAGCATGTTGGCATTTAAATACTAAATCTCTTCCTGAGCCTGGGTTCAGTTTGATAGGATTTTAGTGTTGAACCCTTTGAGGAGCAGTTTCCTGTTTGGAGTTAGACTTCCTTGCTAGAGAACAGGGAAAAAAAAATACAAGGCCTGAAATAAGTTATTTACTATGTGCTTTAAAGTTTGTTTGGAGCTAGAGAAAGCAGAATGTGTTGCAGCTTGGTTTGAAAGGGAGTTTTGTTGAGTAGTGTAACAGTTCTTTTGATAATCAAGTTCGGAGTGGTCTAGCAATATGTCTCTAAATCTTTTGAAAAGTAAAAACAATTTAAAAGATAATTTGCTTAAAAGAAAGTCAAATCGATGTCCCCACAAGGTGTAAGGATGTTTGTGAGTGTTAGTAGTTTTGGTTTTGTGGAGTAAATGAAGAAGATAGGTTCACTTTTTGCCGCTGAAGAAATTCAGTATACTGTGTCACATCGACACACTATTAGCCCACACTATTAGCCCAGTAATTTATGAAACTAACATGATTTAGAAGCAGGACAGATAGAGAATACTGCTGATGTGGCATCTTTGCCCACGCATTTTTCTATGGGGAAAGCTTCACGGCTAGTATTTATAGACACTCTCACAGCTCTTCTGTTTTTTCTTAGATTTTTCCCATCTCTCTTGCTTTTAGGTACTTTTTTTACACAAGATGCCCTTAATTCAAACAGCGCAGCCTTTGCGATTTGGAAAGTTTAAATGAATTTCTAATTAATTGAGTTTATAACCTAGTTGAGGATTTCATTCTTGAAGCATCATGTTTTAAAAGTATCTTAATTGCTTTGGGTGAAAATCATAGTAAAATAAGATAAGCAATTTGATTTCCTAAACAGGATGGTGAATATACTTAATATAGCTTAATCTCTGACCCATGTGACTATCAGTTATTGTGATGCCTTGAGGGTCTGTTGATCAGTTTCCTTTGCATATTGAAGTTATTTGAATAAATACATATTTTTTTCCTGCTTTGTTATTGGATGTGCTTTTCATTGTGATCTGTAACCCTCATCTCTGATATTCCTACTCAAATTGTAGTTCTGTGCCAGGGAAAAATAAGTAGGCCTTTATTGTGTGAGTACCTCTTAATAAAAGTAAACAAATATCAATATTTGGACACTGGATATCTATTTTGATTGTTCCAGAGGCCCTTTCTTAGTGATCTTCTTTGCTGGACTCTGATAAGTGAGTTACCGTATTTTTTTTGTGAAGGGTGATGTTTATGTACTCTGAACTTAAGTAATCAGAATGGTTGAAGTCAGTTACTTGGGAGGTAACATAGTTAATTTTTGAAAAGTTTCATGTGAATGTATATTTTAGACTTCTCAGTCATTTGATGAATCATGTCGAAATTATCAAAATCATTAAAAGGGAGTTTCTTGTTTAATAAACCATTTGCATGGTTTGTTATCAGCAGCCTATTTCTTATGATTTGTGATGATAGCTTAAAGTATTTACATGATACTTGATCTGGGTTGTAACAACAGTGAAACAATCTATATTTGTTTTGAATTAACCTTGGATAATGAGTTAAGGTTACTACATTTAGATTGTAGAACTAGAGAGTTAAGAGGAGGATGTGTTGTGGATGGGGAGTATTTAAGGTCAGCCTTTTACCTACGACCTGTGTGACCGAGTAATTCACTCAACCTTTCTGTGCTTCAATTTTAGTCTGTAAGTGTATTAAAGTCACCGGCCTCATAAGTTATTAGGAGGATTGAATTGAGCTAACACTTGTAAAGTGTTTAACTGTGTCATTGCTAGTTGGTGTTATTTTTTTCTAATTATTTCCCTAAATTCTTGTACCAACTCAAAAAGACAGTTCTCACTGATTTATTTTAGAAGCAGGATATTACATTTAAAGGGTTGGTGGCATGAGGTGATTCTGTACTAATAAAGAAATTGAATTTTATGTAATATATCCTTGCAAAAATTACATAGTAGGTTTAGTAGTTTTGGAAAAATATTTTAGTAGGATGAATACTAGTAGAGTCTTAGAATTCTTTGTTAAATTAAAACACTTTTAAGTTTCAATATTTACTAAAGTGTGAATGAATGCTTACCATGCAGAAATTTGAGGCTTCATATGTGATAAAGCTTGGGGATGCATTAGAGAGGTAGAAAGTCAGAAAATACTTATTTTTCTTATTCTAAAAGTAAAGGTCTAAATTTTAGATCAGAATATGACATAAGACAAATGGCACACAGTGTTACTATATGTAAATTTTTATTTTTGTGAAAGTAAGTATTTCAAGGACTGAATTTCTCTTAATTCGATATAAAGCTTTGAACTTTGTAGTTAAATTACATTTTATAGGCGCACACATAACAATCAGTATTTAAATTCTGATGAAATTTTAATATTTTGGGAAATGTACTTGGGTTAGAGGTGATACAAGCATTTTTATAAAAAAAATGATTTATTGTGTAACTTAGCTGCACAGTTTGGAGGAAGTTTTGATTCAGGAAGATAAATACATTCAAATAAAATTGTTAGTTCATGGTTTGCCTTTCAATTTTAGGATTCACTTTTAATCAAACTAACACAGTATGAAAGAATTTTAGGAAATTTTTGTTTCAAAGTAGGACCAGTAGCAAATCTGATCATTGTATTTGTTAGTAAGCACTCATGATTGGATTTCTTGAAGTGTGTCATGTCTTGAATAGTTAAAATTCCATTTTGTCATATTAAGAGTAGAAATCACATTCATAATATTTTATTTTCCTATAGAGATAACCTGAAATTTGTAAGGTAAGATGATGACACATTAACTTAATGTGATCAAAATTTTAAAGCTTTTATGTAAAAATTATAAAACAAAGTGCTTTTGTTAATTCCATGTTGTCAGTCAAAAATACATCTTAAACTCTTACTTGTGCATAATACATTTGTGAATCTCCTCCCTCTGAATTTCCTCCCCTATTAGATAAATATTAAGGAATAAATGTGTAATTTTCTAATGTGTGCACAAAGAAGTGGTGTTGAAGATAGGTTAGGAAAGGTGTAATGATTCTTGATTTGGATAGGAATTTGATAGAACTGTAGATCTGTTTAGGTTAACAGGTGAAGCAGCTTCTGAAAGATCTGAACATTTGCAGGGTTTTTGTTCAGACAGTAAAAGGCAGTGGTTAGCAGACAGTAGGTAAAGCTTCACTCTGGCATAATGGGGGAAAAGAAAGGAAGAAATGGAGTTTGGTAGTTGACTTGAAGACCTAGCCATAGGAGAGGAAAAGCAAGCAAGCTTCAGATTTTTTTCCTTGAGAGGAACAAAGTGTAGTATTTGTTCCTAGGACCAAAAATCAGCTTGGTTATAGGAATTGCTTTAGGATGAATCAGGCAGTAAATGACAAACCGCTGAGTTCCTGAGTTCCTCAGACTGTTAGTGTCCTGGATACCTATAGTGAAATGAGATTTCTACCTAAATGCTAGGTTATTTCCTGGCCACAGTCTAGCACACACCCTCTATATTTGGTTCTAGGAATTGGATGCTACTTATATGTATATTTTTGACTGCTGTCTCCTTTTCACAGAGTTCCTCTCCTTTCATGCCACCTCTCCTTTCACACCAGTGCAGAGCAGATTACAAAGTTTCATCATACACATCTGTTTTAGAAACAAGCAAAGGATCCTTTAGAGTGTTTAGTGCAGCAGTCTCTTTACCAGTGAGCGTTAAGTTCCAGAAACCCTAGTGGATGCATGAAAACACTGATAGTAAAGAACCATATATATATATATATTGTTTTTTCTCACACACACACACACACACACACACACCACACCTATGGTAAAGTTTATATATTATGCTTGGTAGGAGATTAGCAACAATAGTTAATAAATAGAATAGTAACAAAAAGCTGCTAATAAAAATTCAGTGAATCTGGCCTCAGAACAGCTTACTTTAGTAACAGTTCACAATTGTTGATTAACCAAGGGTAAATGAAACCAAGGGAAGGGAAACTGGGTGAAGGTGGGGGCTACTGTAATTGTAACTGTCAGCATAATAATGTATGAGCAAGTAAGGCATATGAAACCTGAAAGTTGAGTTGAACTGTGAATAACAGTTTTGAACTTGCAGAGATCCTCTTACATGTGTATTTTTTTCACTGGGGTTTGTATTCATGGATTCAGCAAAGGTCATTGGTAGTTGGTTAAATCTCCAGATGCCAACCCCTATTTATCAAGCCCTATTAATCTTGCAGATTTTTCTATGCAGGAAGGGTTGGCACCCCTATCCCTCATAGTGTTCTAAGGTTCTAGTAGTTGCAGTTGTACTAATTGTCATTCCTTTGGTTGTATTGAAGTAGTTTAGGCAGAATGTAGACCTTATTTATTTATTTATTTATTTATTTTTGGTGAGGTGTGTATATTTTTTTCTTTTTTTCCCCAGTATATCTTTTTAA